CCGAAATCGCTGATTTCTGGTAACAAGATGGAAATATGGATTTTCAATTACTTTATTATGTCCATGGCGTCCTATCATGCGGCAGAGAGAACTTGCATTGTTGTGGTTGGTGTAGGTGGATGACAGTAAGCTCTTAACTCTTCGTAATTACGTAGCCTTATTTTGGTACATTAGTTTGGAGATTTAGATAATTGATTTTCTTTAGATTTTTTATGAAGGGTTTTCCGTTGAGTTAGAACTACTTTGGAAATTTAGTCCCTCCAACTCCACTAGTCCATTTTAATTGGCATCCCTCAATTTCTTAATACAAAGCGTCTAAATTTCTGCATGCTTTCGATTCTCGCCGTGTTATTGGGTTGATTGGATTTGACAAGTGCTGCAAATTAGACCAACAAACTTGAAACAAGCAAACAGGTAAAAGGAGAAAAAACGCTGCTGCAAAAGCTGAAAACGTCATTCCTGAGCTTCTTTCAAATAGCTAAAGGTGCTGGCGGAGGTGGAAGACCATCCGTGTTCAAGACATGCACCAACATACATGTAGGCCTGTCGACCCACACCGAAGCACTCATGCCCGTTCCATTAGGTACCGTTTGGTACATGGGAAAGAACGAGGTGTTCCGTCCCATGTTTGGTGAGCCTAAAACGGATGGAACGTACTGTTTCACGGGACAAATTTTTGGTGAATTTTCATTCCTCCTCACCCCCTGGAACGACTCGTTCCACATCCGTGGAACACAAAATTATAACCTCTCCGTCTCCTTCTTCTTCCTCCTTGTTTCCATCCGAGTGCATCTTTACTCCCTCTCCGTTCCGTCCCATCCTGTTCCATTCCATTCCGTCCCGTCCCGTCCCGTCCCGTCTGCATACCAAACGATACCTTATGCAACGCAAGAAAATCTACTGCCATATTGACTAGCCTTGGAACCCAAGACTAGCAGCACACCTGGAAGGCTGTTTTACTCTCTACAATTAAACGCAGAATATACGGTAGATCTCCCAGTTGCCATCCTCCAAATTTTTCTCTAAACATCCAATGACTTCCTTTTAGTCAGATTCCACAATGATATTTTGGAGACCTCTCTGATTTGCAAACTTACATCCCTCCAAAATCAAAACTGCCTCCTCTAATAAAGCCCTGGATGCTTCACAACTGTTCATTGAGCTGCAACAAACTCACCAACATGCTTACGAACAACACCACCCACCCATGTCATCGTGGAACCCACTTGCCATCAAACATCGGCATTAACTTTGAGACTTGGGGAATGAGGTGGCACCCAATGATCTGTTACTATTCTACTTGCCCTTTCGATCCTATCCTGCGGCCTCGTGCATTCCATAGCAGATAAAAATGCTGTAGCAGAAATAGGATAGGGTTTTTTATCATTTAACACCGCACTACATCGTGCCTTCCATATTTTCCATAGCAGATAAAAATTCTGTAGCAGATAAAAATGCTGTATGTCAAGAATCTCCGGTTCTCGTTCTTAGTTCGAAAATCTCTCTCTATCATCTTCGGAAGCCAAGCATCAAGAGTAGTGATCTCTTGCCTAATCGTTCTGCAATTTAAAACTCCCCCAAACCACACAGGTTCAACCCAAGGACATAAGAAGAGCATCTGCTCCACCGTTTCTACATGCATGCTGACCTCATTTTCAACAGGCCCTCAGAAGTTGCCAATGGATTCCTCGTAGCCCTCCATGCACATGAAATGACGTGGTGGAGCTTCAAGGTGCCAAATACATTTCCAAATACTTTATAGCCAATGCATATAAAGTCAAAACTCGTTCTTTAAAATAAACAAAATATAATAACGTATGTGTGATGACTTGCTTCTGTAACCATCTCTAATTAAACTAATCAATCCATTTACTTATGTTTGGATGCCGACGTTGCTTCAATGCCATTTGATTATTTCCAAATTTCTGGATTCGGGGACTGCCAAATCCAACTTTGATACATCAAGGAACATCCGCTCACCAAATTATAACATATATAGTAACACAAATTATTTAATAAACGGACATGTATACATGACAATATGTCAGACGTGTATACATGACAATATATATAACTGAAATGTTTATTAGGTGCGCAAGTAGCTTGTAACTCAATTGATTAAGACTAGAGAGTATTCACTCATGCCCTTGAGTCCCATGTTTGAATCTCCTTCCTCGTAATTTAGATGAATTCATTTGTTGATAAAAAAATTGTTCATCATTAGATACATCATTATAAGCGCTAGTTTAGATGAATTCAGTATAGATATTCCTAACATTTTTCAATAAAAAAAATGTTCATTAGATACATCATTAGAAGCGCTTATGCTAGAATTGCTTCTATTGTAAACACGTGGAAAAAATTTATTAAAAATTTCATGTGTTTCTTAAAAAATGAACTTGGGAGTGCTTCCTGAAGACAACCCTAGGACGCATAAACGCTTTTTACATTTTGAGGAACGCTTTCATTCATCAGGAAACAACCCTAGCTTTTGTCAAAAGCATGGTCTAAAATATCTATAATATCTCGATATTTCCATCGAAATTTCGGTGTTTTGGACTACCAATATTTCCGATATCATCAATATTTTAGACCTTGCTAAGTCACTCATGTATCTTATCATACAACATATAAACTGTAAAATATTGTACTAATTCATTATATATAAATTATTATGGTGTGTTTAAACTTCTTTCATTAATTACTACTATTTTCTACACTCACAATGTTTGCCAGCTCGCTATATAATTAACTTAAATCAGTTATATCTATCATGCAATGCATTTCCTTCCCATTTTTTGTGATAAACTAATAGATAATTGACTAAATAAACATCCTGCAAAGTTTCAATAAAAATTTCCAAGTTTTTCTTACAATTTTCGTGGTTTTTATTCAATTTTTATCGATATCGATAATATCCCGATATTTCTATCGAAATTTCCATGTTTTTGGACTACCGATATTTTCCATATCATCGATATTTAATACGTTGGTCAAAAGTAATCACAGACATATCTTAAGTTTGTAACTAATTAGCGGCAACATCGGATTCAGAATTTGGTGTATATGAAATTGTTGTGGTGGGGTGTGGGCTATTGGTGAAAAAGCCTAAACTCGTATGTTGCTACTTAGGTGGGCTAGTTGGGGATTGTGGGGGGAGGGGGGGGCGCGGACTAAGACCCAATCCAAAAGTAAGGGTGGCAGTAGTCACTCACACATTTTCCCACCAATTTAATGCGTCTACGTTGTGAGTATTAAATGCAGCAGTTGGAGCACCCACCCACCTTCTCACCCCACCCCCCCCAAAAAAAATCCCCACCCCCTCCAATGGCTAAAACCCCCCTTCCCCCTCCCTTCCTCCAATGTCCTCCTCCAACTCCACCTCCCACTCCCCCACTAATTACCTAACTACCCTCGGCCTCGGCTACGGCATCGCCATTTCCCTCGGCTTCCTCGTCCTCTTCTCCACCCTCCTCCTCGCCTCCTACCTCTGCTGCCGCGTCTCCCGCCACCGCCCTCCTCAGCCCCGAAACCCCAATCCGAATCCGAACCCCGAGGGCGTCATCCTTCCCCGCATCATCTTCGTCTCCGAAGACGACAACGACCAGGAGCAGCAGGACGACGATGAGAACGCCGTCGTCGGGCTCCACCCGAGCGTCATCAACTCCTACCCGAAATTCCCGTTCTCCAAGGAGGCGGCGACCCCCGATTCGTCCACTTGCTCCATCTGCCTGTGCGACTACAAGGACGCAGAGATGCTCCGGATGATGCCGGAGTGCAGGCACTACTTCCACCTGTTGTGCCTCGACGCGTGGCTCCGGCTCAACGGGTCGTGTCCAGTTTGCCGGAACTCGCCGCTTCCAACGCCTCTGTCGACTCCGTTGCAGGAGGTCGTGCCTTTGTCTCAGTACCCAGCCGATCGGGGATGGAGTAGGTGACTGATTGCCCCTGGTTGATTGATTAGATTTCTGGGTTTTTTTCCTTTATATAATTTTGGGTTTTATTTTTTTCTGTAGAATTGTGTTAGATTTTGAATGGAGTGTGGGTGGATTGAATTGTTGCTTGGTTTGGGGAGATTGGGAAATGTACATTTTTTGGGATTGTGAAATTGGTGAATTGAATTGTTTTAATGTTAATTAACTTTTTATCGACGATGATAAAGTTGACTTAAATCATTCCGCTTTTAACACGAACAACTTTGGATCACGATATTTAAACTTACAACCTCTAACAAAATAAAAATTTTAAAATTGAGCGCTGCTGGACCAGCTAGCCATGTGCAAAGCATTCGCCATTCGGCCAAGGGTTGTGTCTATATTTCTTGCTTGGTAGCTAATCATGGTGAAGTCTTAATACTAAAAATCATACATTTCATGGGGAGGTCAAAGGTCATGTGGTGGTCATGATTCAAAATCATATATTTTAATTGTTGCAGCTCATCCTCCAGATATCTCTTATTCGCACCACTCCAGAATAATTATCAGCTTTTCAAGGAATGGAACTGTATTTCCATTCTTATGTTGACTAACTCACCTCACACTGTTTCTTAAATCCCAATCAAAATGATTAAACAAGTCTTAGTTGCTTTCATTGGAGTTTGCCCCCACTTTGTATATTGGAAAGATTAGTTTTAAAATAAACAAAATGATTTTCGCGCTCTCGTTTTTTTTTCTGCATTTGTTTCTTTCTTAGTGCCTCTTTATTCTTCTTTTGTTTGTTCAATCCGACAAAGAAGAAAAAAAAAGAAGAGTAATGCAGTGCAGGAAAAAAAACAGGAGTGCAAAAACCACTTTCTTTAAAATGTTGGAATTTGCGTCCCCACTTTGTATATAGGAAAGAGTGATTTTCAAATATAATAGGAATTTTCACTCTTTGGTTTTTTTCTTTTGTAGTCCTCCATCTTTTCGTGCCTTTTAATTTTTCTTTTGTTTTTCAATCCAAAAATTGGAGTTTGTATAAAGTCACTTCTCTTAAAATATTGAATTGGAAGGATGGAGTAGTTTATGATCCCCATATTTTATTTTTGTTAAACAAAGATCAACGCTTTTCTATGACTTTTACATTCTGATAAAGTGCTCATGAAATCCGCCCAAAAACCTCTTCGATCAATAAAACAAATGCACCAATCTCCATGCCTTGACCTACATTTTTATTTCTCAAATTAGATACCAAGCAACAGTTTAGATTATTCCGTTTTCTTGAAAAGAGTTGAAATGTGAACTGTGGAAAAGCACTTCTCAAACAGCTGCTTTTTTTTTTCTGTAGCAGAAAGATATGAGGAAACCAAATGTTTTCAAGAACTTGGGAACATGGAGAGGAAGAGTTCGCAGCTCAATCTTTGCATTAAGTGCTTTTGCTCTTCTCATCTCTGTTGTTACTTTATCCAAATTCAACTCTATCGGATCGTTTCACGTCACCGATACGCTCTGCGGTTACGTAAATTCTGATCAGAGTCCAAGCAGGAGCGATGGCCATGTCACAAAAACGCTTGAAACTGTAATCCAGAAAATCGAAACAGAACTTAAGAATTTGAGAGATTCGCAACCAGAGGCGTCACACGGACTTGTGTTGAAATACAGTTCCTTTCTTGCTGATGTTCTGGGGCTTATTGAGTCAGTGCAGACATCTGTCACAGAATGAAGAGACTCACAAGGTAAACAGTGGGAGCGAAGACATTCATCCGCTCTTAAAACCGAAGCAGCAATCCGATGAACCTGCTAATTACTTTCTGACCGAAGAGATTCGAAAGTACGTCAAGATCAAGCCGAACAGATTAGGGAAGCAGAATTTCATGGGAGCCAATGGGACTTTCACCAGCATCGGCCATGCTTGCTTTGCTATGAAGAAAGAGCTCGAAGAGTACATGGACTATGACATCGGCGACATTTGCAACGATGACTGGAGGCTGGCTCAGAAGCTGATGATTCACGGATGTGATCCGCTTCCGAGGAGGAGGTGCTTCTCCAGAGCCCCAAAGCTATACAGCACGCCGTTTCCAATTCGTGAGTCCATGTGGAAGCTCCCTGATGATAGAAATGTCCGCTGGAGTAACTACATTTGCAAAAACTTTACTTGCCTCGCAAGCAACAAAACTCGGAAGGGGTTCTTCAAATGTGCAGATTGCTTCAATCTTGCAGGCCACGAAAAGCCAAGATGGATCCAACCAGCAAACCTAGAAGACTCCAATTCGAATGTAACCACAGATTTTCTCATCCCTGAAGTGCTCGAAATCAAGCCCGGGGAGATCAGGATTGGGCTCGATTTCAGCGTAGGAACTGGGACTTTTGCAGCAAGGATGAGGGAGTTCAATGTGACTATAGTCTCGGCAACTATCAATCTTGGAGCACCTTTCAACGAAATGATAGCGCTGCGTGGACTTGTTCCGCTTTACCTGACAGTAAATCAACGGCTTCCATTTTTCGATAACACCCTTGATTTGATCCACACCACGAGGTTTCTAGACGGATGGATAGATCTCGTGCTACTGGACTTTGTTCTTTATGATTGGGACAGAGTTCTGAGGCCGGGCGGATTCTTGTGGATCGACAGCTTCTTTTGTTTGAAGGAGGATTTGAGTGATTATTTGGAATCCCTGAAGATGCTGAGGTACAAGAAGCACAAATGGGTTGTTGTTCCAAAGCTTGATAAAAGTGATGATAAGGAAGTTTTCTTCTCTGCTCTATTAGAGAAGCCGGGAAGGCCGTTCCGGTAAATTACAGATTGATCATATGTCTCTCACAATTACTATTGATTTTTTTATGAGCTTAAGATTTTGATTGTGATGTTATAATTGTCATTACAGTTAGATGAGGTTGCTCTCATAGAAGGGAAAATTTTATGCAAAATCCATCTTTGTTTCTTTTGACAATACGATATTACTAAACGACTCCAAGTTATGGAAAAGAGGATTTGAATTTGGATGCTAGAGAGTGGAAATTGCGATGATCAGCTAACTTAACCACGTATGTATTTAAGTACAATAAGAATGGTATAGAACAGGCAGCCCTGCTTCCAAACAGAAGGTAGGAGTTTGGGCAGTTAACCTGTAGCAAACCTGCTCCTGTAGCAGTAAACCTGCAGGAACCTGTAGCAAACCTGTAGCTATAGAAATTTCAATAGGATTATCTGATGAGGATAGTTGTCATATTAGATGGGACTAGTGTAGTCAAGCATGCCAAGTCAAAAGGATCTAATACTTTTGTGAGAGTGGTTATAAATCACGTGGCCACACCCCTACTCAAATTGTATTCTTGTAGAACAAATTTCTTTGCTTATATTGAGTTAAGCCCTTGATTAGCGTTGAAACTAAACATGATTTAATTAATTAAAATAAATTAAGTGTTTACTTCCATGTTTGATGAACTTAATAATGATGACAATGAACGCAAATGATGAATTGTTGTGATAGATAAAAATTTCTACTTTCTACGCACAGCTTCTAGGATAAAAAAACACGAATCCAAAGCCGAATGAGAGCATAAATATTGCATATATAAAGGGCCTTTGATAAAATGGGGCAGAAGGACCTTTTTAATCCATGGGCCTTAGGCCCTTCCTTGTAATTCGCTATTAGCCAAATTTTTTTTTTTAACAAACGATATTATCTATATTAAATAAATGATGATGGATTAGTATTAATATGGTTCAAATTCGTTTTCAACAAAAATTAAACATAAAATCTCTAATATAAAAATAAAAAAATTATCATTAAACTATAATATTAAGTTGCATCACCCAACCATTTAGCTCCATTTCTTTCTTCTTTGTTTACGTTCCTCTACAAATAATAAGGTGGTATTCGTTTGTCCATTGTGACTGTGACTCAAAAGAAGGTCGCAGTCACTGCATATTCTTTAACGGACACAGATTGCTCCTCCCTCCAGTGGCCCACCATGAAAGATTCTAAAGTGGCAGGGCCCCAGCCAGCCAACAATTATGTAAAAAAGATCTAAACAACAAAAAAGTTGAAGCTACTGTAAATTTGCATGGCCCCCTTCTAAAGTTTACAATATTACGAATTTATCAACTACATTTTTACAAAGGTTAAATAACAGTCCCTTTAGAGGGACGATGAAATTTTTGGAGCGTAAGTAATAACATCTTTCACGTGTAAATGAAATGAATAAGAAAGGGTGAAGATGTTATATTCAAAATCTTCATGTGAGAAACAAATAAAATTCAAACTTCCTTCTCTCCTTTGTTTTTATAATTTTATTCAACTTCAAAAGTGGTTAGTGTAATTTACCCAAAAATCAAAGTTAGGTAATAGTATAATTTTTTAGCCCCCTCAAACATTGCTTGAACTTCAATAAGTTCAAATCTCCTCGAGTGGTTGCTTTTATAAAACTCCAAAAAATGGGCTAAAAGTCTTGAATATATCCAAAATTTGTGAAAAATCTACCATACTCTACAGCTTGAAACTCTTAAATTCAATTAAGTAATTAACCAAAAAAGATTGGACAAAATTAATTGTTTTTCAGAATTAGGTATCCAAACTTTATCTAATTCTTCCTATTTGTAGACTTTCCACTATATTCGCGACTACAATTCACTTTCTTTCTAAGCCTCAAAATTATAGGCCTTTTTTCAGGTAAATAAAAGCTTACCTTAACATTTAAAAGTTAAAACACCACCAAATATCAATTAATTTTTTTCATTTTCTGTTTTTCTTGGTTATAAAGTTACCCCATTTTTAAATTTTAAATTGACCCCGGAAGCGACCCACCATAAAATATTACAAAATAAAACTTGCTGTCAATATTACCCCCAATCTGGATCCGTCTCTATTACTCCCATCACACCACACACCAACGTGGACCCCACAAAAAACCTACCTAAAAGAGAGATTTTACTGTAAGTCGAGGACACGATTTGGTATATCACTGTATAATATCATTGTTCAAAATTACAAAAATTATTTAAATTAATTGTATTATTACATTTAATATATGATACCGTATTCTCCGCACAACGAAAAATTGCTGCATCCAAAAGGAAAAAAGTCACCCGACCGTCCAAACCACTCATCTCCTCACTGCTCCCCGCCACGTGGTTCGCAACCTTTCAAACCAGGTCGGTCACCGTGGACCAGAGCCATTTCAAATTTCCACCGAAGCACCCGGTTCCGGACCCGAACCTCCAGCCTAGCGCTAATCAACAAAAATCAACGGCCCAGATCTGATCTCGTTTCCCGCAACCTTATATATCCACGCTCTTATCCAACCCCCAAAACCCTACTCACTGTCCGTGTTATTATTTCGGTTCACTCGTCCGAGATTTTCGGTGTGATTTTTATATACTTTTTTGAACTTTTTCGGTTTCGGTGGCCATGGCCGACGAGAAGAACGCCGGATCGCCGGTGGAGCACGAGCCATCGCTGATGGAGAAGATCCACGGCGGCGATCACGATTCCTCGTTGTCGTCTTCTTCCGACTCGGATAACGAGAAATCGGAGAAGAAGGCCGAGTCTGTGAAGACCAAGGTCTTCCGGATTTTTGGCCGGGAGAAGCCGGTCCACCATGTGCTCGGCGGTGGAAAGAGTACGGACATCTATTCTCTCTCTTGAAGCCTTTACTTTCCCTATTATTAGAAATGAATATATGTATGTTTGATATGTGAGTAGTGATTTAGGGTTTTAGGAAGTGTGGATTTGTGTCGGTTGTATGTTGATCTGGGATTTTAGATGGTTTTCAGCTGTGTTTGGAAGCTGAGAAAATTTCTGAACCGATTGAAGGTTTGCTTTTTGAGTATCTATTTGTAGTGGTCTACCGTATAAGCAGAGTAGTTAAGTTATTCGGTTTCTTTTCAGGTTAGTCCTGATCGGCGAAGTTGATCAATATACTAATTACTTTATTAAGTTTTGGATCTTTGAATGCCTTGTTTGTTGCATTAGACTTTAGATTTCAGATTTTAATATTGGTGAAATGTTGCAGCTGCTGATGTATTTTTGTGGAGAAACAAGAAGGTTTCGGGTGGAGTTCTTGGCGGAGCCACCGTAGTCTGGATCCTTTTTGAGTTGCTTGAGTACAACCTGCTTACTCTTGTTGCCCACATTTTGATTGCCACCCTTGCAATCTTGTTCCTCTGGTCCAATGCCCATACTTTTATCCACAAGTAAGATGCTCGGCCTTTCCAATTTGATTGTTTCTTCGACTGATGCTTTTGTTGGATCTTAATGTAATATATGGTTATGTTTGGATCATTGTGTAATGGGTTAATAACTTTGCTTGTGTAGGACTCCTCCTCGTATTCCAGAAGTTCGTCTTCCTGAAGAACCATTCCTGCAGGTTGCATCTGAGCTGAGAGTTGTAATCAACTGCGCTTTTGCACTCCTTCACAATATTGCATCTGGGAAAGACTTGAAGAAGTTCCTTGCTGTAAGAACATTTGATCTCTATAACCCTTTTATACAGGCTTCCCAGTCAGTTTACGGTGACTAGATTGGTTTCTTCTGTTCAATAGAAATTTCAGTCAGACTTATTGGTTAATAATCATTTAGAATTTGTGATATGCTAAGTTTCATACCTTAATTTACCTAGGTTTTGTTGATTTTGTTGTACGGTTTTGTTTAATTGTTACTTTAACGATGTACCGTTGTTTTTAGGTTATTGCTGGCCTGTGGGTTCTTTCCGTTGTGGGCAAATGGTGTAACTTCCTGACCTTGTTTTACATATGTAAGGACTACGGAAAACTTGTGTGCACTTTCGATACATATTTATATTATTGTACTGAATTTTCGCTTACTAATGTATGACCCTCATTTTACAGCCTTTGTTTTGCTGCACACCGTGCCCGTCATTTATGAGAAGTACGAAGACAAAATCGACCCACTTGCGGAGAAGGTGACAATCGAATTCAAGAAGCAGTATGCCGTGTTTGATGCCAAGGTTTTGAATAAGATTCCGCGTGGTCTGAAAAACAAGAGGGCTTAGAAAGCTTGAGGGTGTTTTGTTGTGTTCCAAAGCTCTAGGTTTCATAGTTGAACTTCCCATTCTGTTCCAAGTGTTTTGGATTTGTAATTTGAATGACTATATTCATGTGGTCTTCAGTTTCGAGAATTAGGTTTTGTTCTTGTGCTTATACATAATCGTGGGAAGCCATTAAACAGCACCTTAGCCATATGTTAATTATGACGACTTTATGTTATTCAACGCTGCGTGTACATGGGTTGTCGATTAATATTTGAACACTTGTGGTGTATGTTTTTTCATGCTTGGTTCTCTTATTGGTTATGAGCATGATGTTTTGGTGGTTTTGTGTTAATTTTGCTTGTGTTTCAAGTATGCAAGTTTTTGGTGTTTGGTTCAAGTATATAAATTTTGGTGTTTTGATAAAGTGGAATAGTGCATCGGATGTATTGTGTGATGGGTGTATGCCACCGAAACTTAAAAAGAGAATTTTCTAGGTGCAGCCTCTCCATAAATTGGGGTAAGGCTAGCCGACATTTACCTCTCTCAGACCCTGCGTAAAGCGGGAGTCTTGTGCACTGGGTACGACCTTTACGACCGACCCAAAAGGTCAGCAATGCTTGATGATACGGAATGTTGGGCAGTGAAGTATCAACATGTACATGGTGATGAGAATCCTTAGTTTAATGTGTGGGGCAAACGAGATATGACAAGATTAGGAACAAGAATATTCGAGGTAAATTAAGAGTAGCTGAAATTGAAGCATATTCGAAGTAAATTAGGAATAGTTGAAATTTGAGATAAATTAGGAATAGTCGAAATTGAAGGTGTGAGAAAAAAAATCGATTAAGGTGGTTCAGACATATAAAATAAAAACCTGCAGGCGCTTCGATTAGAAGATGCAATTACGAGACAGGTTCAGGACCAAAAGGGTAGAGGAAGATTTGGATAGACATTCTAAGAAAAATCTTGGACTACTGTTGATCCTAAAAACTATCAAGCCTACGTGGTGCGCAGGCCGAGCAATTAATAAGCTAACTAT